GAGCAGGTCTCTAATCCACTGGCACTTGACTCGACAGTGCGTGTGCTACATCCTTTTTACAATCTCCAGATTATAAAACACTGCATTCTGTCAGCAATGTAACGCAGCAGTAACGTATAGAGACCTCGGCTTGTAACTATACTCTAATTACTATTTTGAAAATTATAACGCGTTAAATTACTCCTTTACAAAAAAAAATAATCAAATTACAGTAACGCGTTACTGCCCAACACTGCTTATATCGAAATCCTCCGACATTCTTCTTTACAAATCCTCGTTTTGTACTTCTAATTCGTGACCATTGTTTTGTTTTGATCTCTCCCCTGCGCTTCCGCGTTCGTCACTTCTGAGCAGCGCATGCGCAAAGCCGACCTCATACGTCATCCGCCCGGAGCTGCTTTCGTGTACAACAGTGAGTGCAAGCTAGATTAAATTGATTATTACGTTTTAAATATGGATATTTTTCTTACAAAAATTCATCGATTCGCTACAGGAGGCCTTTGTTCACCCCCCGGAGCCGTGTGAGGCACTTTTTATTATGGATGGATGTGCTTTATTTCACTTCTTTTGGACTGATGCATGCAACACCCGCTGACTGCCATTAAACAGCTTGAAAGATAAAAACAATTTTTAATATAACTCCGACTGGATTCGTCTGAAAGAAGAAAGTCATACACACCTAGGATGCCTTGAGGGTGAGTAATTCATGGGCTAATTTTCATTTTTCGGTGAACTAATCCTTTAAAGTTAATTGAATGTCCAAAATGGACCATCAAAATAATGTGTTTTTGTCTATATTTTCTTAGCTTGTTTTGACCCAGTTAGTTTGGGTTAAATGTTTGACCCAGTATGCAGTTTTTCAACTATGGTTTAAAAATTACTGTACTGCTAGGTTAAAATGTAAACAAAATAAAAATAAAATAACCCATAATGGGTTATAAATTTAAATTACTTTAACACACAGAATGACTAGAAAAGAATGGCAAATCACAGTCATACAGTTAAATTTTAAGATGCTTTTTAGGTTGTTCTCCAAATTTAATCTGCTTTTCAAAGAACATTGTTGAATAAACACTGAATAATTTACATTTAAGAGCAAATCTGACAAGTTATTTCATTTATTTTATCTTTCGCCAATGAAAATACTCCCACTAAGGCCAAAGCCTCAAGCTTTGAGTGCCGCCAAGAAACACACAAACTGAAAGCATGTAATAAACACTGAAAGTCAGGAATAAACCATGTATTGTAGCGAACCGACAGGATTAAAGCCTTTTCAATCACTCCTCTCAAGAGCCATTCCATCTTTTTTAGTTCACGCTCACCAGTCATCTCTTCACTTCGATTAGTTTCTTCTGTTTTCCAGACATACTCCTGTCAAGAGTGCCATGAACACAGAGAGGTGAAGTGCTATCACCAAAGCTCTCTTTTACAACCGCCTTCCCAACCCAGATCCGCTGGGTCACTGATTATGAACAATTATCAACCCAAACTGGGTCAAATGAACCCAGCTTCCTCACCCAGCATTTTTTAGAATTTTTTTAATAAATGTAACATTACATCTTGGAAAACTCTCATTGTGTTACATTGCTACAGTGCTGTGCATTTAAAATCAAACATTGACAATGTCAACTGACATTTTAGATCTCATTTGTAAATGATTATCGTTTTGTAAAACACGAATGATGACCCTTAACTCTGAAAATGTGAGAAATGATGACCCTTAGCTTTGAATTAGGTGAAAATGTTTGCATTGCTGTAAATGTTTCCGGCTAACATTGGTTCCAAAGATGACCATTTCTCACGTGGCAACAGTAATGCACTACTTGATGTAATGAACAGGATGTCCTTAAGCAGTCAATGAAACTTAAACAGTCTTTCATTGTCTAAATCGACCGTCTATGATTTAACAATGACAGCTGCTGGATCTTCCTCCTCTCCTATACTGACAATATCACATTATCAGGGAACAATGTAAACATGCATGTATTATGCATTTGGAATGTCTCCCTGATTTATAACGCACACTGTAATTGTTACCCATATCTCTAAAAGTACGTAATAGTAATAGCCAGCACTAATAATTCTGCTAGGGGCAGTATTTTCCTACAGAAAAATACTGCAAGTAAGATCTTTTGTGACTAATGTCCTTCAGAGTTGAAGTTTAAGACAGCCATTATCCAAATCCTCTATTCCAGTAGTTCTTTCAGCAATTTGAGTGAAAAAAGGAAAGATAAATGATCCTCTACGTTTCCTATACACATCGCAAATCTGTTTCTTTACTCTCTGTCAGTCATTCTGAGAACTTTAAGGAATTGACCTTTCATGATACTGACCTCTAATGTCACATAGCTCACACTTCTTAATGCACTGCTTTTCATCTGAGTGGGTTAACATAAATATATGTGTCCTTGGTTCTTTCAGGCAAAGTATTGTCTTCTTGTCTGACAGATGCAACAGAGGGACCTTGCACTACTGCACTTACTGTAAATAGCTTTTTAATAGCTATGTAACTGTGCAACAGCGTTTAACTGTCAATAAATGTTTCTGAAACACCATAAGCACTAACCTAGAGGTGTATTTAGAGAAATCTATGGCAGGATGTGATGTGTTTTTAACGCTGCCGTTGTTTCAATGCATTCAGTGCCATAAAAATGAAAAGCGGTTCACGCTCGCCTGTTCAATACAAAGAGAGTCGCAACAACGGTGTAGTTTAGGGGCCGTAAAATCTAAGCAGCTCTTACCTCGGGGTCTGGTATCTGTGCAGCGGCGTTGAAGAAGTGGTGTGAGATCAACACAGCCGTCACGCTCATCAGCAATGGGACGAGGGTAGGCGGTTGATGCCTAGGCCCCTCCATCGCCATTTTCCCTCTTCTTCTCCCGCGTCTCATCCCTCCCCCTGCTGCTTCTTTCTGCCCGGAAAACTGCGCAGGACCACAATGGTGCAGGTGATTGATAGATGTTCAGCATGAAACGGCCACCAGCTCCCCTACATGAATGCTGCTCTGGTCTCCTGCTGTCCTAATGCCTTCAAACAGAGATACTACGCTCTCTGCCTGAGCCCGGCCCAGAAAGCCAGCCGCTCGGCTAAAGGCCCTTAATTAATTAATAGCCCCGGTGTCGTTTACAGCCCTGCCGCCCGGTGCACGGAGAGGTTACAAGAGTCGTGGGGGGAAGGGAGATACACGGAAAGACACAAGTGGATCAGAGGAAGTTGTTCCACTGAGATAAGGACAATTAACTCACAGCAAAGGTTTACTGGAAAATGTTGACATTTTTTTTCCAACATAGGCTCATTGGAAAATCATGCCTCTTCATACAGTTTTGCAAAAACTAGCTATACATTCAATTCAGTGCAGTTTCCAGCTGAAAAGAATTCTAGTGGCAGTAAAATACGAACAACGTTTATTCCTTTTCACACAAATTATGATTAGAGGATAAATGATCAATTAATAAGTTATTTTAGCATGGTTTCCTGCACAACACATATGGCAAAAATAAATTTTTCTGGCCAAAATATATTTTAAACACATGCTAAATATATGTTGAAAACAGTAAAGCTCAATGAAATATGCTTTTCAAATTTATATAATATATTTTTAAAACATATTATACATGATTATAGTTATATAATATATCTAGTCTCAAACTTCATTTACCATAATTTAAAATGTATTTCAGGGGCAAAAAATAAATAAATAAAAATGCAATATATATACAGTGGGTACGGAAAGTATTCAGACCCCCTTAAATTTTTCACTCTTTGTTATATTGCAGCCATTTGCTAAAATCATTTAAGTTAATTTTTTTTCCTCATTAATGTACACACAGCACCCCATATTGACAGAAAAACACAGAATTGTTGACATTTTTGCAGATTTATTAAAAAAAAAAAACTGAAATATCACATGGTCCTAAATATTCAGACCCTTTGCTCAGTATTTAGTAAGAAGCACCCTTTTGATCTAATACAACCATGAGTCTTTTTGGGAAAGATGCAACAAGTTATTCACACCTGGATTTGGGGATCCTCCGCCATTCCTCCTTGCAGATCCTCTCCAGTTCTGCCAGGTTGGATGGTAAACGTTGGTGGACAGCCATTTTTAGGTCTCTCCAGAGATGCTCAATTGGGTTTAAGTCAGGGCTCTGGCTGGGCCATTCAAGAACAGTCACAGAGTTGTTGTGAAGCCACTCCTTCGTTATTTTAGCTGTGTGCTTAGGGTCATTGTCTTGTTGGAAGGTAAACCTTAGTTCCAGTCTGAGGTCCTGAGCACTCTGGAGAAGGTTTTCATCCAGGATATCCCTGTACTTGGCCGCATTCATCTTTCCCTCAATTGCAACCAGTCGTCCTGTCCCTGCAACTGAAAAACACCCCCACAGCATGATGCTGCCACCACCATGCTTCACTGTTGGGACTGTATTGGACAGGTGATGAGCAGTGCCTGGTTTTCTCCACACATACCGCTTAGAATTAAGGCCAAAAAGTTCTATCTTGGTCTCATCAGACCAGAGAATCTTATTTCTCACCATCTTGGAGTCCTTCAGGTGTTTTTTTAGCAAACTCCATGCGGGCTTTCATGTGTCTTGAACTGAGGAGAGGCTTCCGTCGGGCCACTCTGCCATAAAGCCCCGACTGGTGGAGGGCTGCAGTGATGGTTGACTTTCTACAACTTTCTCCCATCTCCCGACTGCATCTCTGGAGCTCAGCCACAGTGATCTTTGGGTTCTTCTTTACCTCTCTCACCAAGGCTCTTCTCCCCCGATAGCTCAGTTTGGCCGGACAGCCAGCTCTAGGAAGGGTTCTGGTCATCCCAAACGTCTTCCATTTAAGGATTATGGAGGCCACCGTGCTCTTAGGAACCTTAAGTGCAGCAGAAAGTTTTTTGTAACCTTGGCCAGATCTGTGCCTTGCCACAATTCTGTCTCTGAGCTCTTCAGGCAATTCCTTTGACCTCATGATTCTCATTTGCTCTGACATGCACTGTGAGCTGTAAGGTCTTATATAGACAGGTGTGTGGCTTTCCTAATCAAGTCCAATCAGTATAATCAAACACAGCTGGACTCAAATGAAGGTGTAGAACCATCTCAAGGATGCAAAAATAAATTTTTCTGGCCAAAATATATTTTAAACACATGCTAAATATATGTTGAAAACAGTAAAGCTCAATGAAATATGCTTTTCAAATTTATATAATATATTTTTAAAACATATTATACATGATTATAGTTATATAATATATCTAGTCTCAAACTTCATTTACCATAATTTAAAATGTATTTCAGGGGCAAAAAATAAATAAATAAAAATGCAATATATATACAGTGGGTACGGAAAGTATTCAGACCCCCTTAAATTTTTCACTCTTTGTTATATTGCAGCCATTTGCTAAAATCATTTAAGTTAATTTTTTTTCCTCATTAATGTACACACAGCACCCCATATTGACAGAAAAACACAGAATTGTTGACATTTTTGCAGATTAATTAAAAAAGAAAAACTGAAATATCACATGGACCTAAGTATTCAGACCCTTTGCTCAGTATTTAGCAGAAGCACCCTTTTGATCTAATACAGCCACGAGTCTTTTTGGGAAAGATGCAACAAGTTTTTCACACATGGATTTGGGGATCCTCTGCCATTCCCTCTTGCAGATCCACTCCAGTTCTGTCAGGTTGGATGGTAAACGTTGGTGGACAGCCATTTTTAGGTCTCTCCAGAGATGCTCAATTGGGTTTAAGTCAGGGCTCTGGCTGGGCCATTCAAGAACAGTCACAGAGTTGTTGTGAAGCCACTCCTTCGTTATTTTAGCTGTGTGCTTAGGGTCATTGTCTTGTTGGAAGGTAAACCTTAGTTCCAGTCTGAGGTCCTGAGCACTCTGGAGAAGGTTTTCATCCAGGATATCCCTGTACTTGGCCGCATTCATCTTTCCCTCGATTGCAACCAGTCGTCCTGTCAGTTAATGAAATTATGGTATTTAACTGTAAATTTAAGTTAAAACCGTAAAACCTAAAACGTTGCTACCGTATATTTTACGGTAAAATTCTGGCAACCACAGCTGCCGTTTTTTTACCGTAAATTTTACGGAATTTTTTTTACACTGTACATACATATAAACACATGCATATTTCTAAAATATATATTTTTTTAAATATAAACAAAAATATATTGGTAGAAAATATATTTACATAAATATATTTTGAAACTAATTTTAGCAAATAAATAAACAAAAATTGCCATTTTTGTATCTTTAGTAATATATTTAAAAATATTTTTTATTTAATTTTTTATGCATGGGAATATTATGTTATGAACTCAAAACACTTTCATAGTGATGATTTGTACACTATAATGTATTTTGTTGTTTGCATCACATACTGTAACTTGCTTCATAAAATGGGATTTTTATAAACTATCAGTTAGGATTAGGGTCAGGTTTAGGTTGTATGTTATTTTTAAATGCAATATAGCATTAACCTTTGACATTTAATTTCCGAACTGCAATGATACGTACAACAACCAATGCAATCAAACATTCGTTGCTTCGTTTGCTTGTTTAGAATGTAACACAAGGAAAGCTCAGATGAAACCTGATGATAGTAATGAGCATTTGTGTAAGTAGTTCTGCAAGCCTCCTGACTCAGAATAAAGGCCGTGACACACCAAGCCGACTGATCTCACTGCAAAGACTACAGCCAACGGCCAATTAGCACGTTGCACCTGCATGAGAGGAAATAACTGTCACAGCAGGTCAGTGTTCGTCATTTAAAAAGAGAAACCAGAACAAGGACTGCGAATATACAAACCATAATCAAAGCAGTGCTTGCTTACCATTTTCAATATGAATCATGTCGATCACTTTCTTCGATATGGAAATATGCAGGTATTGGATAGGAAGATGTAAAATTTAATCAGAGATGGGGCTCAACTGAAACTGTGTTCTGTGCATTTAACACACACACAAAAATAGAGAGCGAAATGTTTAGTACCAACTCTGTTTACCGGTGGCATGCAGTCAGACTCTTGAGAAAAGGCCCAACACAAATCACGACAGCTAAAGATTCAAAAGTTAAGCTTTATTTCACCCTTTCAATCAAAACCGTATGCGTCTATGCATCAGTATATAACTTAAAAACACACTTGATTAACTCAGAAATCATTCCTGTCTGACAGAAAGTAAAAGCCACTGTTATTGCCAATGACAACTGCTCAACTGAATTTGATCTTTTTCTGTACACAGAGCTCTTAACCCACACAGAAACAGATAAACATTTAGCTGATTTAATTTACAATTCTTCAAAAGTGTGAGAGTATTGTGACAGACTTGATTCATACTTCATGCTTCTATTATAAGCCTCATATCTTTATGCAATGCCTAAATCATTGCGTGCAGCACTGGGTATGACTCATGACTGCTCTTGTAATTTCTTTCTGTGCTAAAGCTGTACAGTTCAACAGTATTTTACCATTTATTACCACTTATGCACAACTATTAACCAAAAACAGTATATAAAATGAGATTCTGATGTGAGCAGAATCATTGATAGACACGCATATACAGTATGTGTGAGAAAGAGAGAATTACTACTTTGGGCTTATTACTACTACGGACTACTTTGTCGATCATCTTGGTACTTTTCTGGACCTTGAAAGTGGTAGTTACCTTGCTATCTATGGGAGGGTCAGAGAGTCCTCAGATTTCATCAAAAATATCTTAAATTGTGTTCCGAAGATGAACGAAGGTCTTACGGGTTTGGAACAACACGAGGGTGAGTAATTAATGACAGAATTTTCATTTTTGGGTGAACTAACCCTTTAAGAAACTTTTTTGAAATACTACACATGAAATGACAGACATCACTGAAACAAGTGTCCTGAGAGACAACACTTGTATCTGAAACATACCTGCTCATGTTCCAATCAGAA